CATGGAACACTTCATCTAAAACTAATGATGTAATGTATGGGGATTAACATAAGAATAAAAAAAAAAAAACCTGGTAACAACAAAAATCTGGTTGCTCTCAATTTAATGTTCAAGATAAATTCTGAAAAATTACTGATAAAGAATCTTTCATCCTTAGCCCATGCCATCTTTCTTCCTGTGCTATATTTCTTACTTTCAAAAGCCAATACTTTAACATGCTCTCTGGAACACTTTCATCAAATTTTCCCTTCTGCTTTTAATTTTCAGTCTCTCATAATATTGAAACCTGTTGAACTTTCTCTTATTAAAAAAAAAAATTCTTTCTTGAACTCCAGCTCCTCTCTTCCCAAATAAGTTCATTTGTGACCTCCGTGTTGCACAACCCAGTGAACACTCATCCTATTTTTAAGACTTCTCAAAAGCATTAAATAAAGTAGTAAACATCCCCCTTAAAACTAACACACACTCTCTCAGTTCCTGAAACAACCAAAATTTATGACTTTCTAACCCACTAGACCTGCTCTGTTTAATATTTTAGCTACTATCTCCATGTGGCTATTTAAATTTAAATTAACTAAAATAAATAAAATTCAATCTCTTGGTCACACCTGCCACATTTGAAGTGTTCCATGACCACATGTGGGTATTGGCTGCCATACTGGACAGCAAAGACATAGGACATTTCCATCATTGCAGAAATTCTGTAGGATAGAGCTGTTTTAGACACACTTGAATTATTTGTCATTATGGTTATTGTGGTGGTGGTAGTTTCCCCACCAGCTTTTCTTCCTCAATCCAGGCTCGATACTGAGAGTTCCTGGGGCCCAACCTAGACCTCCCTTTTCCATCTCCCTTGTTGACTTCACCCCCTCTCCTAACTTAATGATCTTCTATTTGGTAAAAATGCTCCACATTGATGATTGCCTTTTCTTCTGAGCCAGAGCCCTACATCTCTGTATTCTGGCATCTCCACTTGGATATCTCTTTACACATCAACTATATGAGCTTTCTTTCCATCCTCTGCATGTATAAAGTTTTTTTTTTAAAGATTTTATTCATTTATTTGAGAGAGAGAGCACAAGCAGGGGGAGCAGGAGGCAGAGGAAGAGGGAGAAGCAGAGCCCCCCATTGAGCAGGGAGACTGATGTGGGGCTGAATCCCAGGGTCCCAGGATAATGACCTGAGCTGAAGGCAGACACTTAACCAGCTGAGCCACCCAGACGCCCCTGCATGTATAAAGTACATCTTGACTTAAGTTCTTTGCACATTCTGTGTTCTCAAGAGTACCTCTTATCTCCATTCTTCAGTGGCCAAACTTTTCTCAGTCTTGAAGTCCTACTTTAATGCCATTTCCTCATTTCTTTGTATCTTCATTTCCTTAATATCCTTGTCCCCCAAAGACTGTGAGCACCATAAGAATCGTCTCTATTTATTGACTACTCTATACATGGTCTCCAGCATATAGTAGGTATTCAAGAAGTATTATTTTTTTAAGATTTATTTATTTATTTTAGAGACAGATTGAGCACAAGTGAGGGAAGGGGCAGTGGGAGAGAATCTTCAAGCAGACTCCTCACTGAGTGTGGAGCCCAATGTGGGGCTTGATTCTACAACCCATGAGATCATGACCTGAGCCCAAACCAAGAGTCGGATGCTCAACCAACTGAACAGCCCAGGTGCCCCTCAATAAGTATTATTTAAAAAAAATGAATAGAAGTAATACATAAGAAAACCCTGTACATCTTTCTTTTTTTAAAAAGATTGTATTTATTTATTTATTTAGTCATTTAGTTAGTTAGTTTAGAGAGAGTGTGAGCAGGGGGGAGAGGCAGGAGGAAAGGGAGAAAGAGAATCCCAAGCAGACTCCCTGCTGAGCACAGAGTAGGACATGGGACTTCCTCTCACAACCCTGAGATCATAACCTGAGCTGAAATCAAGAGTCAGAGGCTTAACCAACCAAGCCACCCAGGCGCCCCGCCCCAAACTTCTTTAAATTCAATTCAACTTTATTCTGCTATTCACATAGGTTTGGTTATCCCTGCTTGTAACTGACAGCTAACCACACACGAATTTAAAAGAACCATAGAGAGGATTAAATACCAATAATTAATTTAGGATAGAGTGAATCTTTCTCAAGCAAAGGAGTGTGTGTTATTAGAGCTCTTGATGCAATTTTACATGCAGTAAAATGCTATAGGTTGATGCATAATTTTCATTGTCTATTAAAAAATATTAAGGGCCACCTGGGTGGCTTAGTCAGGTAAGCAGCTGCCTTCAGCTCAGGTCGTGATCTCAGGGTCCTGGGATCGAGTCCTGCATCGGGCTCCCTCCTCAGTGGGGAGTCTGCTTCTCCCTTTCCCTCTGCCTGCCTCTCTGCCTACTTGTGCTTTCTATCAAATAAATAAATAAAATCTTTAAAAAAATTAAATTCCTGGTTTTGTTTGTACTTTGTTTCTAATTTTTGAACGATTCCATCATTTACATACACAGGCACATGAGCACACACACACCTCATCCACCTTTTCTGAGATATGAAACACTCACTGAAAAAGACTCTTCAGTTGCTCTTTTTTCTGTACATCCGAGTGACCTCCAAACAACTTGTTTTGTAATAAGTAAGCCAGCTCAGCCTTTCTCTTCCTGTCCAGATTCATCCAAGACTAAATTGAGTGTGCTGTACACTTGTCACCCAAACCAAAAACGTCCTTTACCTTTCCTGCCGAGTAGCCTGTGGAAAGAGCTTCAGAATCTCTGTGTGGAGAGGCTCCACTCGAGTCGGGTCCTTCATTTTTATTTCTAGAAAATAATCTTTACCAAACTTTCTTTTCAGATGTTGAATGGATCCAATACACCTAATCCAGGGAAGAGAAAAAAAGAGTTGAAAGAAAAAAAATTGGTCTTTTAATTTCCTCCTCAACTGCCAAGGCAGAGGAAAGTGATCATAGATTGAGGAGCTGAAGAGCACCAGCTGGTCACAGTGAACTGTAATTCTCTCTGTGAGAACTTGGGGGGTGTGGACGGGCTCTGTGAGGTGGGTGTGGACGGGCACCCACCTCAGCCTTCTGGACACAATGATGGCCACTCCGTCACACACGGCCTCTGCCATGGCGTGGGTGGTCAGGAGGCGCCTCCTCTGTGTTTTTAACAATGGTCTGAATTGCCTGCCTAAAGATAAAGTAAGGGGCTGTTTGCATTTAGAAAGTAATTTGGGAAAACAGGTGAACAGAAAGAAGTATGAGGAATAATAGAAAACTCTGTATTCATTTACAAGAAAAAAAAATCTTTGCTCTAGAGAGAAAGAAAAAAATTATACTGCATTATGTAATTATATTACCACATTAATTGGCTTCATAGAATGAAAAGTTGAAGATTGGGAAATAGTAAAATATGTTTGTTTAAAAAGTTGGAGTGAAGAGAAACACCACATTGTAGGATTGTCCATAACTGAAGAATAAAAGAAGAAGAATGAGGCAGGGGAAGAGGAGTAAGAAAAAGAAAATCAAAGCAAATACATGCAAGATTCTATTAGATTCTTAAAAATGTCTATCTTTCCTTCCTTGGGGAATTTTGAGCACTATATTGAGTTTCACCGAATTAAATACTAGAGAATGTGAGCCTCAAAGATAAAATGGAGCAGAAAGACATGTATCATACGATCTCACTGATATGAGGAATTCTTAATCGCAGGAAACAATCTGAGTGTTGTTGGAGTGGGGGGTGGGGTGGGAGGGATGGGGTGACTGGGTGATAGACACTGGGGAGGGTATGTGCTCTG